TACTCATATCATTGTGGGAAAATTCTTCTACCAGTCCTTCATCACCTTAAACGAAATTGGGTGAATAAATCTCATATTACGGAGTTACTGGTAGTCTCTAAACAATACTTAAATGCGAAAAATATCAACTAACTGTTTGTGTTTAGAATTCTCTGAATGATTTGTTTGTGTATATAAAATGCTAAGAGTATATAAATATAAATTTATGTAACAGGGACACCTTTTGCCCCTGTCCGTACCTTTGCGTGTGTGCTTAGAGCACATTTAATTTGGTCCCAACTCCAAGGTAATTAAATGTCGGTTTGCGTGAAGCCGAGTAAAGATGATTTCCCTTCCAACCCTCTCTTTGACTGAGGGGTTCAGGGATATTTATCTTCAGTTAGTTGAAATCAAGACTGGAGTGGAGTGACTATCATTATAATTCCAACACCAATTTATAATTGGGTCGCAATCCTCCAGCACAAACACATTGCCAAAATTACATGTCGGATCAGGATAAGGGCTCTTTCTTGGACCGACTAGTTGCGCAGCCGTCTTCAAAGGCTTTGTTGCCGTGCCGACTAGCCATTCTTTAAATCATTTTTTTCTCCTCCAGTCTGGTCCAGTTTAACTTACCTTCATTACCAATAAGGGGCTCGGTTGTCAGACTTAAAAGTTACAAGCCTAGCGCTAAAGTTGTTAACAGTTGAACTGCATTGAGGGAAATTAATGGAAATCACGCTTTAACTTGTGTCTGCCTTAAACGCATTTTCGGCGAGATTGAACCCGGAAGCAGAGGATAAGGAAAGGGAAAAGGCGAGCATCAGCGAGCTATTTGTTCTCCCACCTGCTCGCAGACCATAAAATTAAAGAGTCCCATACATTACTAAGGGTGTGTGTGTGTGTGTGTGTGTGTGTGCGTGTGTGCGTGTGAGAGGCAGAGAGAGGAAAGGAAACGCTTGAGTCTGTTGGAGCTTAACAGATCAAGTCTGGTAAAAGTGAGTAAAGCTACACCCGAGAAAAAGGCAAAACGATTAAGTTACGCTAGAAAGACTCTAAGAAACCTGCACATAAACCGGAATTGAAGTCCAACTTAACGTTTGGCGGATTACAGGATTTTATTAACTTGACAACACAACTAACAGATAGTAATCAGACAGCAACTTCGATGGAGGTAAGATGACTTGGCCATTGTAGAAACTTCAGCATTCGCAAATAAAAGAATGCGAATGGGGCTGATCTGAGGGATAAGTCAAATAGAAGATGACTGCTGATCGTTTGACTAGATAAGCTGCCAAATGAAATGAAATTTTTATTCAATCAATGTGGGAGGGGCTAATAGAAGCGATGCAGGATTATTAAAGCTGCCAAAGAGAGAGATATTCTGCTCATGCCTAACCGAAAATGAAAAGGAGCTATTTCAGTCTAGTCTGGGTCTACTAGAGACAATCATTTTGGATCACTATAGCGACGTGCTGGGCATGAGGGTAGTTTTGTGGTACCGATGTCACTCCATGATGTCTGCTTTTCCCAGATTCTGAGAGTTTAGACCATATTGGGTGTATTAGAAACATGTATTTGGATTAAGCACACATTTTCTATCTAGCCGATTAAGAGAGAGAAAAACAGTGCCTTAAAGAGCAAAAGTCCAGCGGACCGGGAAAAAGTTTTATGATTAAAGACTATTTCCAAAGTATAGGATGCACACTTCCGGGCTCCAGTACTGGGTCCTATCAAGGCGTTGAGAAAGCCGCTTCTTTGGAGAATGGCGATTGCCCGAGTGCGACGGATCCAGAGACCAAACGAAGTGGAAATTCGACAAGTTATCATGTATGGCCGAGGTGGGTAAATGGGGAAGGGAGGACTTAGCACATCTGATAAGCCAGAAAAGATAGCACGTTTCTCCGGCCTGGCTTCAGACATGGTGTCGAAGTTCGAGTTTCTTGTCCTCATTTACATCAAAATAGGCCCGAAATAAGTGCGAACCCGTCAGGGGCTGGAGTAGATTGTCCACAGCAAAGCTCAAATGATTCTGACAAATAAACTCAGCAACGCTCCAAAATGAGCAGTAGTAAGATGCACTAACCTAACGCATGACAAACGCCACCCGCAACGTTGTAATTAAGAAGACGCTATTCATGAGGATCTTGAATAAACATAGCAGAGGTGATTCTAGTGGATAGATCCTTGAACCAGGCTTTGCTACAGCAAATAATCGGTTTACTCCTCCAGGACAGTATCCCCTCAGGAATTCCCCAGGTTGCTCGAACAAAGGGCCTAGGTTCTCGCTTCGGATGAGAATAGCCCTGAGTGTCCAATGGGAGTGTTCCATCGTCGCGTAATTATCTTATTATATTTAGTGTCATCACTCTTATCCAATACTTTAATATCTACTTATATATATTGATGTGAATACTTTCATTTCATATGGAAATACACGATGAAGAGATTTGTAGGTCAATCTGACCAGAAGACGTCGGCTGATTCGCATTGTATTGTCTCCGTTTGGCGCCAAAACGACGTTGAGGTTGATACAGTCTACGAGACATCCTCCAATATTTCGGGCGAGGACTGGCTGAGCTCCCCGAAAAGACAAGAAGGAGTGATTCTGAGCTAAGGCTATTGGATTGTCCGTACTGTGAATCTGAATAGCCGAGGATCTCTTCGAGCAATACAACAGTCTTCTTCGGTTTTTGGTTAGGCGAATTCAAGAATTCATTATAGTCAACTTTTCCCTCGAAATGAAAAGTTGAACTGGACACATGCCGCCATATTTGTTCTGTCGAAAATGAGGGGGGTACAAGGTCCGGTTAAACCATTACAGAAATCTCGCAAATCGGTAAGGTACCAATAGAACCAGTCCTGAGATCCAAAAAAAGAATAAAAAGTTTGGAGAAAGTGACGTCGAAAAGGCTAAGATATCAGGATGGGCATAAAGCTAATTGGTTGTATATTAATTTGCGATGGAGGTACATGAATAGGAGGATAAATCGGAAGCAGGGACCTGGAACAGGACAACCGGCACAGCTCGTTGGAATAATGCAGCCGACGTGGAAGACAGCAATGAATGGGACGTTACGGATGCCGAACGTGAATAAGTGACGTCTGCTTAAATTCGAACCTTTGGCAAAATTGCTTTGCTTATTTAATAATTATCGATAGTCTCGAAAACTACTTATATCGAAATTAAGTAGCGCCCTCGTTTGCAATGGCAAACACATGTTTGATTAATCAACAATTCCCATATAAAAATGCGAGTTGAAAGAGGCCCAGCATGCCTTGAATTTCGCACCCTCCCTGTGAACCACCAGCACTCGGGATTGTGGAGCTATGTTTTAATATCGTCACAACCCTCAAGACCCGCTATACAACCCCGTTGGGCAGGCTGATGAGGCATAGGAGAGGTCGAAGCTGCTGTGCAGCTCATTGTTGAAAAAATCAACTATCTATTTTTAACTCACTCTAGAGTACTAAGCTCTTATTCAAAACTGTTACTGATTTCACCAG